CGCTGTAAAGAAACAACCCAAAAAACAGAAAGGGCACCTCCCTGAAATGAGACGGGAACCTCCCTGAAATAAGGTTTTGCAGGTTGGGATGTCTGCTACATTCAGTCCTGCTTTGTACAAGCAGGACTGAATGTAGAGTGAGGCAGCCGATTGTTCGTTTACATGTGAACTCGGCGATGTGGCCGAGATCACATGTAAACAGTGTGCAGCCGGTCCGTCCGTCCTCCCCTCCTCCCCTCCCCCCTGCACTTACCTCTCTCCTTTGGTTCCGTCCTCCGCCGCCGAGTCTCTGACTGCAGTGAGCAGAGCGGCGGTGTTATAAATAACCCTGCCGCTCCGTGCAGACTGTAGACCGTGAAGGGAGAGCTGTACTCTTCCTCTCTCACCTGTCACAGGAGTTCCAGCACAGTGCTGTGCTAGAACTCCTGTATTGGAGGTGACAGGGTCAATAAAGAGAACCTGTCACCTCCAATTGCTATCACACAGGGGACTGTTTTCTCCTGTGTGATAGCAATAAAGTTAGGTAAAAAAAAAATGTAATTGATTAAAAAAAATTCAATAAATAAAAATGTTAAAAAATAATATGAAATAACTAAATAAAAAAATAAAAGGGTTTTTAAATTGTAGAAAATAATAAGAAACAAATTATTAAAAAATAAGATTTTTTAAAATAAATAATTTTAAGTAAATCCGACCCTGTGTGTGTGTTTCCCAAACACACAGAAACAGCAAGGCAAGCTACTTCCCTGCTCCTCCTCCTCCAAGCTAGTAGATGGACAGATGCTGGAGACCAGTGGCGTCACAAGGGGGGTGCTGCCCACACCCGGGTGACACCATTGGAAGGGTGACACCAAAATGACTGATATTCATTTTGGTGTCACCCGCCCTGAAAAGTTGGACAGGTGGCAACCCTATTCCAGCCACTCTCCATAAGATTACACTTGGCCTACAGAAATGTCCTGGCTTGGATGTTCAGCAATTGAAAAAGAACGCTTTCCCCAATTTTGTGATGTAATACATCCCACCCCCGTTATCTGACCCTTGTTTCTGTTTTAGCAAACTGTGTTAAAAACTCTGTATTGTTATATAATGAGATAAAATCCCAGAATGAACTTTCCATCGTATTCAACCTGCAGGCGGGATGACCATCCCACTGAGCCACTATTGCTTTAAAATCCTACCCAGCTTCCCCTTCTATGTAACATTGGGGAATAATGGGGGGTACATTGCATGTTAAAGCAGACGTTTACCCCCTTTCACTAAAAATCCCATCAGCGTGCAGCTCTGCATGCTAATATGAAATCATCTCACAT